TGTCAGATCTCAGAAGCTAAACAGGATCGGGCCTGGTTGGCATTTGAATGGGAGACCACCAAGGAGCAGCAGGGTCTCTATGCAGAGCCAGGGAATGGCAAACTAGCTCTAAATGTCTCTTGCCCTGAAAATCTTATGAGGTCGCTATAAGTCAGCTATGACTTCACGGCAATCGCAATAATAATGGAGAGATGGCTAATGTGGTGTTGGGGTCAGAGGTCAGATCCAGGTTCAAATGCCCACTCTGCCATGGAAATGCCCTGGGTGACCATGAGCAAGTTGCTCCTGTTCAACAGCTGCCCGCTCCCCACAAGAGCCAGGGTGGTGTGATGTCCAGAGTTTCAGATTAGCACCCGGGGGGCTCAGATGTCAACGTTGTTTCCGTCTTTCGAAAATCTTTATCTTCCGTATGGCCAAGTTGCTGCTAAAGGCACAAGAGCAGAGCAGGCTGGGCCTTTTCTGGTCAGGTGGCCACCCTAGCCATCCACCCTTCAGACACGTACCTTGATCACTGGGTGACTTTGAGCCACTCCCACAGATTCAGCCTAACCTCCCTCACAAGGCCGTTGTGAGGATTTTTAAAAGGAGGAAAGGAGGAGGATGTAAGCCATTTTGAGACCCCATTGGGTTGAAAGGTGGAGAATAAATTATGTAAATAAGCAAAAATAATAGGGGGGGTAGCTGTTGCCAGCTCTCTCCTGCCCCCCCGCCCCCGTTATTTATTGCTGGTGAAGTTGGAAAGACTCAAAAGAAAGTGTTTAAGGAAATAAAATGAACAAAAGGGGTGGTTGGTTTTTTTTAAAGAAGTGCATGCTTCTTTAATTCAGTGCCCTGATTAATGGAAGTCTATTTTAATAATACCTTTGAATAGTAAAACATAGTAAAGCACTTTATTATTGTTATTATTCTTGATTTTATTGGTTTATCTGGTTTTATGTATGGGCTTATGCCCCTTGTAAGCCGCCCTGAGCCCGCTCGGGGGAGGGCGGGGCAAAAATGCCTAAATAAATAAATGTGCAGATTGTGGTAGATAAGCCAGGGTGCTTAAGTAAGTAAGTAAGTAAGAAATCAGTCACGCTCTCCGAGGTGTAAACCCTTCCATATTTGGGGGGGTTGGATAGGGAAAACGTTCTGTGCATGCGCCAAGGCATTCTCCCCATTATTATTTCTCATGTCCCTGTTCTGTGCTCAAATAAATTCTGGCTTGTGTTGACCTATAAACTGATCTCTGTGACCCTTTGGGAAAGAATTGAGGGGTAGACTTTAAAGCAGATAAGATCTAAAGTAGATTATGCCTGGGGTTCCTTTTTAAATATGTAACACACAATGTGAGAAAATGTAACAAATCCAGAGTATCTGGAGTTCTATGCCCAGGGGTAAAGTTTAAAAAACAAACAGGAAAATGGATAGCATCCTTCTCTTTGTAGAAAAGCTGCAGTGGAAGCTTCCCAGGAAATATTTCAAGTATTTGTTTTTGAAGAAGTGAGCACTGATGCAAGAAAGCTCATACCTTACCACAAGTTCTGTTAGTGTGTAAGGCGCTCCTGGACTCTTGCTCTTTTCTGTTAACACAAATTCTGCTAGTCTGTAAGGCGCTTCTGGACTCTTGCTCTTTTCTACTGCCACATACAGAGTAACAGGGCTACCCATCAGGAAATATTTGGTTACCTGTTTTAGGAAGCAAAAAACGAAGGGCTCGTCCGGGATTTGAACCCGGGACCTCTCGCACCCTAAGCGAGAATCATACCCCTAGACCAACGAGCCAGCTGACAAATTGTGCTTCTCAAATCCTTTATATACCAACCTCGAACATGTGCCACGTTGAATCACAAAGCAAAGGGATTTTGTTGGCTTTAGCGCCATCTAGTGGCACAGGATAATCACTTTCTAAGTTAGGCGCGATCCTCTTGGGGTTTGCTTTGTTTAGGACAAAAATCTGTACGAGAGTGATGAGGTGCCCGAGAGAAGTATATGGGGAAAGTATACGCTGTATACGCTGGAAAGAAGCTTCCAACTCTATGGGTTACCTTTGGCAGGACTCCGGAACCTTTAATGTGTGGCAGGCTGAAATCCAACTGATGAGGCTTTCCCTCTTTCCATGGGTGCACAGCCACACCGGCTGAATATATGAATGCATGAATCTGGGACATGGGGTGCCTATTTGATGGCGTAGATATGCCCTGCATTGCTTGGGGGCCAAGGAACCGACCAGGCAGCTAACAAAGGCCATGGATGTACTTTGCTAGACAATGGGGCAATCCTGTAGTTGTTCCAGTCTGAACCCCACTGATTTCTGTAGATTCGGGATGCATAGGACTGCACTGTTAGGAACAGAGAGACGTAGAACCTCAGTTTTAGACTCCGCAGCTTAGAGGGAGCACTGCCCAGACTCCTTGGAGGAGAAAAGGGCTAAAGGTGTGACATCTAACTAGACAGGTGTCTCTGGCTTAAATTGATTGATTTACTCCATTTATACTCTGCCTTTCTCCCCAATGGGTACCCAAACCAACTTATGTCATTTTCCTGTCCTCCATTTTTTCCCCCTCACAACGACCCTGTGAGGTAGGCTAAGCCAAGATTTTGTGACTGGTGCAAGGTTATCCAGCACACTTCAATGGCAAAGCAGGGATTCGTCTTCTGGGCATGGAACAGCGGTCACTGCGGGTGCGGAGGAGGTATTTGTGGATTTCCCGCATCGTGCAGGAGGTTGGACTAGATGACCCTGGAGGCCCCTTCCAACTCTATGGTTTTACGATTCGGACTGAAGTCTCCTGAAACCTGGTCTGTGACCAGTAAATACACAAATCCCCCGTGTTAGCATCCAGACCCCTCTTGTAGATGGGTAGTTTATAGAGGACACCCCTCTCCATCTATCAGCCCTCAAATCACATGTGTGTACCACCCAGCTTGGCCAGAAATGGAACCAAGATGGATTTGGAGCAAAAAAAAAAGGACACCGGTCAGAGACTAGCCTGGGAAACTATTTTGGCAAGGTGACTCAAGGTGTCAGTTTTGCTAACTGCTCTCTCCCCACCTAAGAAGAGATACTTAATCTCCACAATGGGCTTCTCAGGAGAAACAATCCCCACCCTGCCATGACCTCATCGCACCTGGTAATTAGCAGGCTATTCAAATAACCTGATAGCCTCTCCCATTGGATTGTCCAAGGGTCATCAGAGAAACATTAACATCTTTAGTTTTATTCAATCATCTCATTGGCAGAACATTAACACCAGAGAGCCCCATTCACTCCACTCATGCAAAATAGGAGCGTTTCCTCAGGTCTTTGTCCATTCCGGGGAATGCTATGCAGTCTTTCCCCAACACGTTATTTTACCTGCACTTAATCTCATCAGGCATTGTTTGAGGGGGCAGTTGAGTCACAGTGCCCTTAGGTAGCATTTTGCCCTATAATTGGAAGCACAGCCCCATAGTGTGTGTGTGTGTGTGTGTGTGTTCAGTACCATCCCTCACACCAGAACGCTGGCCGTTTCGTTATATTCTCCATGGACCTTGCCTCTTTTGGACTGGTAACTATAATTGCCCTGAAAACTCCTATAGTCCAACTCTCTCCTGTATTTTCGTTAGCTTGTGTGTGTGTGCGTTTTCCAGTGTGCATTTATTTCTCTGCGTTGTTATTTCCTCTTTCAATAAAAAGAACCTTTCTTGGTTAAGTCTGTTTCTGAAAGTTTCCCTAAGGGGAAAATCCCCGTAAATTTTGGCGGAGATCTCAACAGTTACCCTCCTCTCGCTAAGCAAAAGGTCTCGAGAGTTAAATCCCCCCAAATAATTGGCAGGCCTCCCCTTTAGGTAAGACCACCCCCTGACACCCACTCTCAGAAGGAGAACGAGTCCCCCAGAAACTTTTGTACCGTTGAGTAAGTTTCTCGATGCCAGCTATAGTCGCGGTGTGAGGTTGCAACACTAACTTCCACCAGCGCTGACTCTCCCACCGAGGGACGCTCAAAAAATATAAATAAATCCAGCAACATTCTTTGTTCCATCTTGCTTTATTATCATTAATTAATATTACAATTTTTCAAAACCGGGGCTCCGTTCATTTAAATAAAATAAAAAGTGCAGAATGTTAACGATCGTCTAAAAAAATATATATATACTTCTCTCTATATATAGTCTAAACCTGCCGAGACCTTCATCGCAACTGGATTGACATGAACTGGTGTCCCTCGCCCCCCACATCCCTCTCCGATGCCTCAGCGTCGACCACCCACCCTGGGAAGATTAAGGGGACTTTTTCTCTGGTTCAAGTCCAGAAAGAGTTGGTCAGGGAAGCCAGGGAAAGCGGGAGCGGTCAGAAGCAATACCTGGGAATGCCACTTTAAGGGGGAAACTGCAGGAGACTTAAGAAGAAACAACACCACACTGGGATCTGTGACTTCCCGACTCCGTCTTTTCTTCCACATAGATATCTCAGCCAGTTTTAAATTCACAACGTCAGAGCAAGCGGCAGAAAGCCGGATTCTCTGGCCTCTGTTCAGCTGGCAAACTTCCCCATGCACGTTTTAAAGCTCTGGTGTGGGCAGGGTTGCCAGCTGCTCCTGTGGCCTTTCGAACACCTCAGTACGCTTGTAAGAACATCACATTTCCACACAGCGGAAAGTTTCGCCTGCTGGTCGCTGCCCATCGAGCCGCCGTTAAAGGCATAAGAGCACGGCGGGCTGGGCCATTTCCTGGTCAGCTGGCAACCCCGGGAAGCCCACAGAGCTTATCAGTGGAGTTCGCCCGGCCCAAGAGTGTTTTCCTCAGTGGCTGGTTCCCCCTGCCTTCCTTCTCCACCCCACGCGAACCACCCCATTGTCTGTGGTGTCTTCCCATGCCGGAAACCATTTGGGAAGGCCGTCAGCATGTCACGGCAATGCCAGGTCTTCCCTACAAGTCTTTCTATACAGTCGGGGCCTACAGAGTACGAGACCAAGCGGTGGCCGAGAGGCTCCAGACGAGTTCCCTTGGCGAGTAACCACAATATCCCTGAAATAATCTGGTTCTGTCAGAAAGCAGACACGGGAGGGAAAGGAAAAAGCAAAGGGCAGCCCTCCCACACAAACATTCAAAAGCTACCACACAACACAACTCCACAGAGAGGCCGAACTCAAGAGTGTCTATGACAGAACAGCAGTTCCCGCCAAAAGGAAATGGCAGTTAACGCCCTCACCAAAACTGTGTATGTGTGTGAGAAAGATCTAATCCTTTACTCCAGTCCCCAAAATTAAAATGGAAGCAAGGTGAAGGCTACGACGGTCCGAACCACGAGGTCTGTTGTAGAGTGATGTTAAAAATCCACAGCTTGATCCCATGAGCCCTGGAAGGACATGCTTATCCAAAACCTCATTAACCATCCTGTTGGATAGATGCCTCCTAGAACCTTGAGCTAAGAGTTCAAGGCTGCCCCTTTGGTACACAGAAGGATAGCTACTAAATACGAGGCCCACTAGACCTCATTTAAAAAAAGAAGGTGGAAGGCATGTATCAAACAATGGATCCCAGTGAAATCAGTCCTCCTTCACATGAACAGCAGAAGAGATGAGAAGCCTGTATCTGGAATGTACCAGATTGAGAGTCAGAGTTTACAGGACTGAATACTATATTTTTAAAAAAATCCCTGAACCTAGAAAACTAACATATCAGGGTCGAATCCCTGTCTTCTCTCTGGCATGCTAGTTTTCTGTGTGCGGGGTTTTGAGCGTTGCCGTTATTTTGCATTCAATCAACTGCCCTCTGAAGTGGCACAACAACCCAGAAACAATCTCACACCCTCAACTGCTGTTTGTGAGAGTAAGCCTTTGTTACTTATTGCACGAAGAGGAAACCAGGGTCCAAAGAACTCACTGGAGGAGTCCTCCTTCAGGAAGAGCTGCTGCGGGACCGAGAGGGGCCTGTCAAACCTCAAGGTGCTCTGAGAACAGGTGTCCCTCAGCAGCACCCCACGCACCACCCTCCCCCCAAAAGACACTGTATTGAAAGCTGGAGATCGGACACAGAGGCAAGGGGGATAACCCATCGGCAGCTGACGCAGAGCAGCAGAGTCGAACAGAAGTTTGGGGAAACATCTGACGTGGCAGAAAACTCAGCAGGCAGGACTTAATTTGGAAATATGGGACTCAGAGGGGGGAAAGGTTGAGTCAACTGCGTCTACACACCCAGGGCATGCGCACACAGTTCTGGTTGCGTGGAGGCAGATCGCCCCGCCGGTGAGAGATCTGCTGGTGACCCGGCACAGCCCCGTCGCTAGGCCAGATTGTTATTGTGTTCGATGCGCTGCACCATCAGGGAGACCAGCTTTTCGAGGGTGCGGGCACTCTGGCGGCTGGTCTCCAACACCTCGGTGTGGTTGGCCTTCTCCTTGGTCTCGTAGTCTAGGATGGCTTTGTTGGTGATGAGGGAGAAGCCAAAGATGCGCATCCCACAGTGGCGGGCCACAATCACCTCAGGGACCGTGCTCATGCCTAGAAGACGGAGAGGAAAGCAGGTGAGTTGGAGGTTACGGGTCCATGAGATTTGTGTGAGATGGACCTTCCGGGAATGAACCAATTTTTTTTTTTTGGGGGGGGAGGCCCTGTATGATTGAACAATCAAATGTTAAAGACTGTGTCTGCCCACAGAAAAATAGCATGGTGAGGGATGAGCCCGGGCTAGAATTCTTCTGAGTGACCAGCTAGTTTCCCTCATGCAGGAAACATGGGGGCAACAATTCGGCCGTGCCGTCCCCCATCATCTGCTTAGGACGGCTACCCTTTATGATTTCACTGGAGTTCTGAGGGAAAAGGTGGCTGCCAAATGTAGTACAGCTGGCAATGCCACAAAAGAATACAAATCCAGTCCCCATGGGACAACCCAGAAATGCAGCTCTGCTAACCAGGAAGGACGGCCTCCGTCACAGGTATAACTATGTTGCCAGCGTCCTCAGCCCTTCCCGAGAGAGAGACACCCCAAAACGACCTCTGAACCGCCACAAGCAGTGCCCTCGTGAAGCTAGGCTCGGCTTAAACGGTGGCTTTTGTCGGGAGGCTAGGAGAACCACATTTTGGCTGAGGAAACCCAGGCCAAGAGAAGATTCCCCAGGCTGGCTGCACAGCCAAGCACCCTCCATGCAAGCAAACACACACGCACCCCAATCTATCCTGTCAGCTTAGTCCAAAGAGGACTAGAATGGGCAAGTCTCTGCCGTCGCCTCAGGCATCTTCCACTGACCAAATGGCGAGTCTTTTGTCTGTCAAGTGTACAGGCAGGCAGGGACAAAAAAGCCTCTGGTCTGCGCTGTTGCCATGAATGACGTATGTTGCGTGTTTCAATCCCCCTCTCAAGTTCAAAACCTTTTATTGGCATCTATCATAATCATATGGAGTCTTCATGTGCATCCGTTGAACTGATTTTAATCTGTTTTAAATCTGTATTTGTATTATGTAATTTTGTATACTGAACGCACTTCTTTAGTAAAGAAATCATTATTTTAGCTACCCAGTCTATGTGTCTACTCCTGGGTTCCTGGGAATTCTAACTCCAGTATACACAGGTCACGATCCATGCTATATGCCTATTGCCACTTTATATGTATAATTCCCCAAACTATTATTAAGAAATAAGGCAATTTGGCTAACAACGATTTCTTTGGAAAACCAACAGCAGCCCAGGGAACCTCTTTTCCGGCGGCCCTGGGTTCCTCCTCATGGCACCAAAGCAATGTTTGGAGGGAGATGTGTGTAAGCTATAAGCACGCAAGAGCCACCCACAGCTGTAAGATCCCCCTTGGCAGACAGTGGGTACACGACAGACTCAACTTTGTCTGCGCGGAACAGGAAGTGAGAGAGCTCGGCCTTGCTGGCTACTAGAAACCAAGCCTAGCCCAAATTTGTGGGTCCCTGCATAGAAACCCCATCCCCTCTTTCTGTTTCAGCCTCGGTTCACTGTTCATCTCCACCGTTTCCACACCTACAAAGCCGCAGCTAAGTCTTCTACGGGCTGCCCAGGGAGATCACATCACACCAGTTGAAACGAGAGAAGCCCCACCCCCCTGCTCTTCCCCCCTCCCCCATAATTCCCTGTAACTCTGCCCCAGACTGACCCACTGCATCGGCGCCCAATTGCTTCAGGAAGCGGCATTCGGCAATGGTCTCATAGTTGGGACCTCCTAAAGTACAATAGACTCCCTCGCGCAAGAACCCCGAACAGCCCATCTCAGCGGCCACCGTGTGCGCCAGTTTCCGCAAGTCCCGGTCATAGGCGTCCGACATGGCTGGGAAACGAACCCCAAACCTGAGGAAGGAGGAGGAAGAAGGAGAGGTAAGCGTGGATAGGCCAGGACGTTAAAGGAATATTACGTTAACAAACCAATCAATTAATTAAAGAATAGGCTTCATATTCTGGACCTTGCCTTTTATTTATATTCAAAAGGTGGCCAAAATCAGATACATTTCTGACGTTTAACATTTCCAAAAGTGGCTCCTGACAGAGATTTTTTTTTTTAATACACACAAACACACACAGAGCTTTTATTTTATTTTAAAGGTGCCGGAAGTCTCAAGAGGGGAAATGAAGTATTCAATCTGTACACTAAAAACTCATTAACTTTTAAACATTTTTTTTTGTCAAAGAGGTTCTGGAAATTCATTCCGGCTCATTCCCTCAGGAAAAAAAAGCCATACCGAGGAAATGCAGCTTTGGGACAGAAATCTATGTCCCATAATACTTTTTACCAAGACCACACAAGGAACACCGTGCAAGCCTTTGGGGTCTCTCACTCTTCACTGGGCCGGCTGTTAAAATCAAACACAAAAAAGTGGGGGAAGAAAAAAATATCTCCAGAGGCAAGTCTTCTTCTCTACCTCCCCTCACATATTTCCTTGTTTTCACACCCTGCCTACTGAAGAGTTCCAGAGAACTCAAAAGCCTGCGCGGTTTGCTGTGTTCTTTTGGTTGATCGACTAAAAAGCACTAAGCGGATTTGGGTTTTGGATTTTACTATGGACCCATATGAGTTCTGACTTGGTCTTTTTTGTAGAAAATGCCCAGCAGGAACTCATTAGCATAATAGGCCACACCCAACAGCAGGACCTCATTAGCATATTGGGCCACACCCCTGACAGCACAGCTCATTAGTACATTAGGCTGCACCAACATGTTACCAGAAGTGTGGTTATCCAGCCACACCCACCTTTTGCTTCTTATTTTGTTTACCTTGTTTGTTGTCAAAACCCAGGGCCTTTTTTGGTAGCAGGAACTCCTTTGCATGTTAGGCCACACACCCCAAATGTAGCCAATCCTAATGAGTCTCTGCTGTTGGGTGTGGCCTATTATGCTAATGAGTTCCTGCTGGGCGTGGCCAACTCAGGAGCCAGCCGGAACTCCGTTCCTGTGCGTTCCTGCCCAAAAATAGCCCTGAGTTCTGACTTTGGTCTTGCTGTAGTTGTGTTGGTTTCTGGTATCGCCAGTGACTGCCATGGGAGTCCCAGGTGTGGAGAAGACAAAGTATCCCCCCTCCCCCCCCACCCTCCACTTACTTTTCATCATTCGGCCCCACCAGGGGGTTCACTCCAGCAAACCCCGGCATGTTGATGTGGTCCCGGATCACCATGATGTCCCCCACCTTGTACTCGGGGTTGAGCCCCCCGGCCGCGTTGGTGACAATGAGGGTCTCCACGCCAAGCAGACTGAAGACCCGTACAGGGAAGGTCACCTAGAAAGGGGATGGAAAGGGAGGCGGAAGTGAAGGGATGTTAGACGTTCGGTCCCTCTAGGACGGGGGGTCTCCAACCTTTTTGAGCCTCTGGGCACCTTTGGAACTTCGAGACGGGGTGCTGAGTGCCCCGCCCCAAAATGGCTGCCACGGGAGATGCAGCCAGACCCAAAATGGCTGCCGCGGGAGGTGGAGACAAATGAAATGTCCCCCTCCTTGCATTTCCTGGGAAAGACGGAAAGACCGAGCACTAGAACTAGACGCTGCCTAAGGAAAGGCCAGGTTGCTGATCTGTTTTGAGATCTATCTTTCCTTCCATCCATGCATGGTCAGGTATCTTGATTCAACTGAGGTAACTAGAGGTGTGCAAGGGATTGGGAGACTGGAATGTAATCGATCCTTGTGAATATATTATGCCCGGGTGAGTCGTCGATGTACTTTTTTATGTTGGATGCAACATTCTTCACTTCATTGGTATTTCGCTAGGAGTTGAGTAAGTTTGTGATTTGTTAGCACTTTGAGTGCTTTGAGTGGGTCGGACCAATATCTGTCCGGTTTGCCATTTGCTATGGAGTTAAGATCGCCACCTGCAATTAGGTCTCCATCTTGGAAATGTGTCAGTTCAGGTACCATCTAGGAAAGGGATTTGTGTTTTGTTTGGGGGAAGAAGAAGAAAGAAGAAGGAGGAGGAGGAGGAGGAGGAGGAGGAGGAGATTGGATTTATACCCCGCCCTTCACTACCCAAAGGTGTCTCAGAGCGGCTCGCAAACTCCTTTCCCTTCCCCTCCCCACAACAGACACCCTGTGAGGTGGGTGGGGCTGAGAGAACTCTTAACAGAAATTGCTCTTTTTCAAGGACAGCTGTGCCAGAGCTTGTGACTGACCCAAGGTCACATCAGCAGGTGCAAGGGGAGGGGCCTCGTTTGACGCCTCCCCCTGGCTTCCCCAGTGTCTCCCACAAGGGCCCACCGAC